CAACGCCATGAATGAATGACATGTTTCCATCCGCCCCCCGACCCCTCCACCCCTCCGCAATGTTTTAATCAGAGGTGCATGTGACTGTGAATGTTGGCAGGCGATTGATTGCTTAACACTTACCAAGAATTCCCGCCGGACGTACACCTCTACAGACAACCAAGTAATTAATTGATAACGTTTACACAGGGATCAGAGGAGTGAAGAGAGGATGAGCATGGTTAAAGGTGTATGATGTTACCAGATCATCTAACCACAAGCGGAATAAGGGTGGAGAGGGGAGGGGGGGGGGATAACCGCCCCTTGCTCCCTCCCCCTAATAATCAAAATGGCAAACATGTACCTTTAATATTCGGGTCTAATAATGTACATACTTGTACCTACCCCCCCCCCCCTCCCTCATTAATTAATTTTTTATTTTTTAGGTTATTACTTTTTCATGATGTTACAAGATTATCCACCACTGGCGGATTATTTTGGGGGAGGAGGGCAACCGCCCCGTGTCCCCTCTCTGTTTAACCCTGGCGGCATACTGTTCGTATATAAGACCAAGAATGTGCCTAACCCCCTCATGAGGAGATGACGTTTTTATACTAGTTCCCCTCTTTTACAAAATTGTGGATCGCCCCTGCGTCTAATAAACTCACCCAATGATGAAATCAATGTCGAGAATGCAGTCTGGTGGTGGCAATAAGTGAGCCCATTATATTAGGTTCATGGTTTAACTAGCACAGGACGCCGAACTTTGCTGAATATATTATTGTTCCTTTTTTTCTTTGGTTTATTGGTGAACACATTTTAAGCGATATGTTAACAATGATTAAATACATTTGATTGAAATTCTCTAATACACTTACAACTTCATGTACTGTACAACTACTTCTACTTCAACTACTACTACTACTACTACTTCTACTACTCCTAATACTATTGCTACTACTACCAGGCGCGTACGCAGGGGGAGGGGGTGTTTTGGGGATTAACTCCCCCTATTTTTTTTTGATAAAGGGTGCGTGTTGAGTAAAAAAAGTCAATGCTCCTTACCCCCCCCCCCCCCCCCCCCCCCCCCCCCACTGAGCGAAATACGGTCGGCGCGATTTTCACATTTCCGGGGGCAAAAATAAAGAAAACAATTAGTGCTCACTCCCCCCCCCCCCCTCCCTCCTACTGAGCAAAATATTGGCCGGCGCGATTTTTAAATGTTCAAACACCCCCCTCGAAAAAAATCCTGCGTACGCCACTGACTACTACTACTACTACTGCTACTTCTACTTATTCTTCTACTACTACGCCTAACAATAATAGTGATAAGTATTCTCCTCCCCCTCCTTCTTCTCCCCTTTTTTTCTTTTTCTTCTTCTTTTCTTTGTTATTCTTTTTTTGTCCTCTTATTCTGTTTCTTCTTTTTCTTTTCCCCCTCTTATTTGTTGTTGTTCTTCTTCTCCTTCTTCTTCCGCTTCCTTTTCTTCTTTTTCTTCTCCTCCCCCTTCTCCTTCCCCTTCTCCTCGCCTTCTCCTCCCTCCTCCTCCTTCTTCTTTTACTTTTACTATTATTTCTACTATACCTGTAATAAAGCTTTTACTTCTATACCCCTCGAACTGCTAATACCACATGCAAGACCTACAATCATTATACAAACTCATTAAACTCCATTAATCTCTGAACATACGCCCTTTGAGAGACATTCGGTGAAATCATCTCAATCTTGTGTGTTTACTGCCATGAAGTCGAAAGACACTCCTCTCGAAGTCACCATCATTCCCTGATTCATGATGTACACAGAAAACGTCGTTGAGAGAGAAAAAAGAAATCACTTCACCGTCTCTCCTCTGACTGCAATCTGTTACTTTCGAACTCTAGTGATTTTTGACAATGTGAAGGACAGCGATCATAAAGTCATTGCGAGCGGGAAAAAATGGCGCCAAAATGAATTTATGTGCGGTAATGTCTCTAAACGAGCAGTGATTTGTGTACACATTCCCCTCCATTCTTCACAGTGCCGAACAGTGTCTAAAACGATTCAATACTGCGAATAGATTAAGACACTTTTGATGCTTGTTAGAATGTAATCGGGAATGTAATATCAAACAATGTTGTATAAATTATGTGATATTTCAATACATTATTCATCTCCATTCCTTTAAAAATCAATTTTTGTTTTTGTTTTATGTATTACGATGATGTGCAAGATGGTACAACACGTACACGAGAACATTTTTGTTGGTACTTGGAAAATTAAGTTGATCATAATCTTATTCATTATATCTCCACTATGTCTCTGTAGTGTGCATCAATGGAATAATATTACGATTTTTCTGTTAATTTTTAAAGGCCCACTGTACTACTTGTATCTACTTGCTCTCTCTCTATATAGAAAACAATGCCTAATCGGTGACCATTGGTCCCCCATGATCCTCTTTTTCTTATGTTAATTGAGAGCTGAGTTGATGAGATAGCCACCTGTCAGTGACCTTCCTGGGTGGTCTTATCCCTCCTAGCCAAACTAGTACAGGCAGCCTTTAAAGTAAGTTTGGCTGACCATTATATGCAATACCATAGTAAGGATAGCAAAGTTGAATAAAAAGATATGAAAGGGTTTTTATTCACTTTCCCACCCACCTCTCCATCACATATAGCCATCATATATATATATATATATATATTCTTCATATCTTTTCTCTCTCTCTCTCTCTCTCTCGTATCTAAGCGCATAGAGACAGTTTTGTAATATGCGCTATATAAGAATTGAACATTATTATTATTATTATTATTATTATCATCATTTTAGAAGAGATGCGATGCACGTATCAATTCTACAATTTCGAATTACTTCTAGGAGAATGACAGGAGAATGTGAAAAAACATCCATACACTGCATCATCGATCATGTCTAAATATTGTAAACATCAATAAATCAACATCCGCGTCGCTCCTGGCAACCTTAGAATTCTCTTTCAATCCTCATCAATACACTTTGAACTCTGCGCGCAGATGGAACGCGTGAAAATATATAAAAACTTGAAAATAGACATTGCATACTTTTCAATAAGAGATGCCACTGGCATAAGGCCTTTTTATATCATCCGCCGTTGCCAGGAGAAAGAAGAACATATTCCGATACGTCAGATTCTGAAAAGCGACCTTAATGGATGGATGCAAAAGAATGATATCTTATTTCTTAAGTTTTCAATCACCAGGCCTTATCCGAAAATAGGAAATGCCTTTTTATGGTACATCATGTCTAGGAAGTAAATAGAACTCGCTTATCAATGTTTTTTAAATCTTATTTTTCATATGAATCTCACTGCTACAGCCTCATTCAATCTTCCGCCAAATAATTCATTAATGAATCTAATGAATATTTATCTGTGAACTTATGTGGTAGAGTTTGTCCAAAAACCTACGAAATCAAAGTCCCCTTTTATGGTCTGAGGGATCACAATTAAAAGTAATATGCATTTTCTTTAGAGAGAGAATATGAAAAATGTGAGATTTTGTTGAGGGGGAATATAAAATAGATCAAATACGCGCAAATACCGGTGTGTCATCAATCATCATCATTGAGCATAAAAAGATCACGCACGGCGGTCGCAACGTTTGCATTTTCCATAGCAACGGCCCCACCTGGGCACTCATCATCAGAGTTCTTCATAGCAACGGAAGGATGAAGGAGGAACCTGGTACGACAGATGAAGTGGACGAGACTCGGAGCGGCTTGAGGGGCCATCGAATTCTGGAAGAGAGAAAACTCATTTATCACCTGCCAAAATAAATGACACTTCATCTAAAATACGACGGAGGGAAGGTAAATATTGAGGGATTGTTTTGATGCTGTAATCACTGCATGTTCTGCCTTCTTCCTTTTCGTTTTCCCCATAAAAATAGCGTTTACGTACCTATCTTTACTGACAAAATTAAATTAAAGATTATGCCATCTTTACACTAAGCAAATACAAATTATCAAAGATAAGACATAGCAATGACCTGTTTAGGGTCTTTAGTTACAATACTCTCCCTCTCTCTCTCTCTCTCTCTCTCTCTCTCTCTCTCTCTCTACACACACAAATAAATGTGCCGTTAAGTGGTAGACTTTTTAAAGCATATTGTAACAGAATCTGCACAGAAGCTTTGAATTTGTGTACATCAATATCATATTTTAAGAATTTTCTGCACTATAGCAGTACAACAGAAAGCCTTTAATAGAATGCGTTTAATTCAATGCTCACTAAAAAAAAAAAATTATATTTAACAAAATTTAAGTCTGATTCTGAAATCTCACTCATGCTCACTAAAATGACATAACAGCGTGCATGTGCTATTCATCTTTCTGACGCAATGTTCTTTGAAAATAGCCTCATGTACACATGCGGAGCAGCACATAGGCACAGAATCTCCAGTTTCCCCCGTTTTCCTTTAATATTCCCCTGTCTTCCTTTTCCCTTAAATTAGCACAAGATCACCTCAGAGGCGACAACGGTCTTAATTAGAACATAACATCGGATACATGAAACGGATTATTCTCCGCCCTGAGCTGATGGATAGATCGTTGGTCAAAGCATGAATTCAGTAACATGAGAACGAACACCTTTCTGTTTCTATCAAACACTCTCTTGAAGAATGACTTTTGAGGGGAAAGAAATGGGAACGGCATGATTAATTTCTGAGAGAGAAGGTTCGCTCACATGTGGCGAGTTTTCTAGATTTGTCAAACTGAGCTTATTTTGATAGGGCCTACATGTATCATTAAAGTGGGATGTCTTCATATGTTTATATTTTATGTATAAAATGATCACAAAGACTATGAAAAAATTAACTTAAAAAAAAAAACCTTGTCCATCACGTACCGAAATGTGTGTTATGTAAACCAAACACCATTTCTATGGGATGTGCAGTAGGGTATTCAAATTGCACTTAAGGTCATTTCTGGAAAATCTTTGTGATCATGCTATATTTAATGCCAAAAGAAAAGCCAAGAGAAAGAAAAAGTAGAAGCATGACAATGCATTCATATTTGGAATCTTTATTTCTTGATTTATACAATTCTTCACAACACACAGATCAAAATTAGAAATGTATATGAAATTCATGTTCATGTCACACATTACATACTCACAAATATACAGGTATACATCTCTCTACGTCTATCTTACATGTTTCTCAAGGTGTGTTCCCCATTCATTAATAAAACACTAATCTTTTAAAAATGTTATCTAAAAGATAGGAATACGTGTGTGTTTGGACGGATATGAAAACACAAATATTCAAATAATGAATATAAAATATAGTTGGTGGTGCATATGTCTTAGTATGCCCTGCACTGCACAGTGGATATCTGTCTTAATATCCTTATGTTATAATAGATATAAAACGCAATAAATATTGTACCTGTGTAAACTACATTTAAAATGAACTCTTACATCATGTGCATGTTTAGAAAGAAAAATATCAAACAATTTTGTTTTCTTTGTACATATATTTTCATATCTTACATTATTTACATGTTATTTATAATACAGTATTTCATGCAAACTTTTCTCCCATTACTAATAAGTCTCAGATCTGACTGACTTGGTGAGTAGAATTGATGTTCAACTTCACTAAAATTTGAATCTATACTCAGAATTCAGAAGGTGGAATCAGAACACTCAAATACATCCACTGTATTGCATAGCTATTTTTTTTTTCTGTAACTGACTAGGGCATTTCAGTTTAAATAAATAAAACTATCATCAGTGGATGTCCATAGATACAATTTGTTGAATGTGATAATCAGGATTTTTAACAAGAAATTAAGGGTTGAAATCGGTGCATTGTCAATGATAGAAATGTCCTTCTTTTCTTTACAGTAAAATCAGACAATTTCATGTTCCTTTAGATTGGTCCAACCTTGTGGAAGTTTGATGCAACAAAATATTTGAATCAGAACACAACAAAATGCTACATCTTTGGAAATTTGCAACATGTTCCTTGCAGTGAAAACATCACTCCTTAACATTTCAAGTTAATGTTTCTGGTCTTCAAGTCAAAGGAGTCACTTCCTCCATTTCTGTTCAAGCAACCTTGGATGTTGATGAATATTCCTTAATGATCAGTGTAAAATTTGTTGCCGTGTCATAAGAACCATTTCCTCGACCATTTCTGTTCAAGCACCCATTGAGGGAGAAATGTTGATAACTACTAATGATTGCTAAGTCCATTTGTCCAGAACATTTAAAGCTTATCTGTACTAGTTTATAGGAGGGATTAGACCACTCTGCAAGGTCACTGGACAGGTGGTTTTCTCATCAACTCAGCCCTCAATTACCATAAGAAAAAGAGGATCATGGGGGACCAATGTTCACCGATTAGGCATTGTTTTCTATATAGAGGGAGCAAGTAGCTTCAAGTAGTACAGTGTGGCTTTAAGCATTTTATGTTGGGCTGACGGTCCCTTCCGACGGCTCCGCGGCTCCACCGAACCCCAGGAGCTCCACTGCAAACATGGAGGCAGTGACCTCCTCCGGTAGAGCCTCCTCCAGGATATCTTGAGCTCCAGCATGGTCGTAGCCTCCGAGCTCCGAGCTGCCGCCCTCTGGGTTGACCCCTAGTAAGGTGGTCAGGTACTCTGCGACCTCTACCTCGGTCATGTGCTCTCCTGGATAGGGTTAGGGGAAGACGAGCAAGGAGAAAAGAAAAAAAAAAAAAAAAAACACTTTTAGAATGATGCTAAGTAATAAGGAGGAGCTAGGAGGCCCGATAGCTCAGTCGGTAGAGCAGTGGTCTCGTAATCTGGTGACCCGGGTTCGAAATCAAGGCGATGCGCTAGTGCCCTTTGGTAAGGCATTAATCCTCATTATCAGGTCCCTCGGAGAGGACCTAAAGCCGTCTGTATTCTGGTTGCTTACTAACAAGCATTTATGCTTTCTTAGCAGTCAGGTAAAATAACCACCACTATCACAATGTCAACTATCCTCCTCTGCCAACAACTTTCTGGACCCCTAATTCTACATGTCTTTCCTGAATGTTTACAATATCTCTGATAGGAGGAGACAAGTGTTGCTTGCTTGGGGGGGGGGGGGGGGGGGGTAAGTGTCCAGTAATGAGGGTAATGATAGGCTGGAAATTGTCATGGGCATAGGTATGAGATCCCCAACTGCCAATCGAAAGTGTACTACAGCACTATCTTTGATTTACTGACTTGATGATACTTAAAGCCTATCTGCACTAGTTTGGCCAGGAGAGATTAGACCTCCCTGCATGTTCACTGGCAGGTTGTTATCGCATCAAATCAGCTCTCCATTAACGAAAGAAAAAGGGAACCATGGGGGATCAACAGGTACCGCTTAGGTATTGTTGGCTATGTAGAGGGCGGAAATAGCTACAAGTAGTTCAGTCGGGTCCTGCTTTAATTGATGTTAGCTTCCCAGATAAGTAAAACATTAATTGATGATAATTACCATCATAATTTTTCTTACCTTTTGTTTGTAGTAGTTCCAGAAGTTCTCCTCTCTCTATCTCAGGTTCCATAGTCTCGTCCTCAGCATATCCAAGGATATCAAAGGCCCAGTTCAGCTGCTGCTCACTGATACCAAACGCTGGTCTGTGGTTCACATACACTACACAGGAAAATACAACAAAAGACATTGAGATATCACTGGTCTATATGCGGGGTAGGTTATATGTACAGTTCATTGATTGGCATAGGTGCTATTATCAAAACAGAAGATAAAGAGGAATTAAAACAATGTACAATGCCAATACTCTCATTGAGCAGATTGGCTTTAAACATGCATGAAGAAATTATTCAATTATACACACACCTATAATCTGGACAATAATAACTTAATAAGACAAGGGTAATCTGTGATGGTGTCTGGAGCTCCTCTAGAATTCAAGAAACAGCTTTCTTCATTTCACGAGGATCAAAATTCTGAATATCTCTCAATTTTGGACATACATGTATGGGCATGAAATAAATAACGGTGAACTGGTAATGTACGCCAAACCTTCTGGCATTTAACATTGTGGGCCGATGATTTTGATTTTGGCCCCGATGCACAAAACTTTACCATCAATGGTAACCAACATGGAAACCTTGATTTTGATTGACTGTTGAGCCATGTTACCATGGTAGTTATCATTGGTGTAAGTTTCATGCAATGGGCCAAGTCTTTCTTGCATATATACATAAGGATGCCAATGTATGTACAAAAAAAAAAAAAGGGAAGAATGATTGAATTTAATATTCTGACTTACATTTGATGAAGGTTCCGAGCTCGATCTCCGTGACGTACTCTCCGGTGTCGACGTACTCACTGAACTTGATCTCATTGAGCATGTCTTCCACCTCCTGCTCGCTGGGGTAGTGACCCATGGCCCTCATCACAAAGGGGATCTCAGAGAGGGGGATGAGGGTGGAGACCTGACGGGTGTCTGTGGTGTCTACCCCTTGACTGGAGATTGATACAAGAAAGGAAGGTATTGGTATTTGTTTGATTATTTATTCAGTTTAAATTTGCTTTCATTCTAAAGATATACCGGTAGACGATTACTTGGAGTTGGGCTTGTCCTGGTAAGCGTGACATTTACTTTTTATGAAAAAGCAACAAATGAAATTAATTTTTATGTAAATGTAATTGCAAAGTACATGCTACGTACAGAAACTCACAGGTTATTTGAAACAATTTGTACAAGCAAATCATGACCAGGTTCACGATTATTTCTTTTTTATCAATTTCAATTTCCTTGGTGATTGCTATTTCTGGTAAAGGATTAATACCATACAAATCTTCTGAGACATCATTACTTTTGTAGATATTTTCACAATCTTCTTTTACATCATTATCCTCTCTTTCATCATCATTATTATCATCACTATCACCATTGTCATCATTACCATCATCATCACCATTGTCATCATCATCATCACCATAACCAATTATCATCATCATCATCATCATCATCATCACCATCATTACCACCATCACAATTGTCATCATTACCATCATTATCATCACCTTTGTCATTAATAACCCCCCTCTCTCCTCCTCCTTCTCCTCCTCCTCTTCCTCCTCCTCCTCACCACCATCATCATCACCTTTGGCATTATCATCATCTCCATCATTCTCATCATTATCATCATCATCATCATCATCATCATCATCATCATCATCATCATCATCATCATCATCATCATCACCACATCGTCATTGTCATCATCATCATCATCATCATCGTCATCATCATCATCATCATCATCATCGTCATCATCATCATCATCACCACCATCATCATCATCATCATCAATGTGACCTCACGTACCTCCTGACTTGTGCATAGTAGAAGTAATTCTCCAACTCCTTGAAGAGCTCTCCTTCCCTGCCTCCTTCCATCAAGCCATAGAATGGTATCAGATCATCACCACCAAGTTTAACTGCTGCTTCTAGAGCACTGTACGTGAGAAGTGATCACCGTTACCAAACCATACTTGTTCTTCTGAGCTGCCTAAATCCTCTATTCCCTCAATTACATAAATGAAGAACATAACTTGAAGACATATTGCAATCAAACAGACTTAAATATTATTTTGAATTAATCCTTCACCTGAAAATAGAAAATGCTTGCATGGCTTTTCATTCACAATTATATGAAATGTCTAGAAACCTTCTCCTCCTACCTAATTAACAACAATTGCCTGGAAAGTGTAGGTCAAGTGTCTATTCATAACCCTGCACAAAGATTTGTTCAATGGTTTCTGTGCTTCCTGTTCTTAGAAGACGCATGGAAGTCTCTTCAAGTTCAGAAAACAATTCTGACAAATTTGTTTAGGGATTCAACTGTAGAAGGCACTGGAGACAATTATAAACTACCCTTGTCTAATAACATGAGGAAAATTTTCCAGGAAAAGAGGGGGGGGGGGGGTAAGCTGTTCAAGGGGTTGTTTTCCAAGGGTTGTTGTTCATAAATATAGTTATGTGTGGGTTAATGGTTTTGTTTCATAATTTACTTACTTGAAGTGAGTGTCCCACATGTGGACGGAGTAGTCTGTACCTCCAGCCGTGAAGACATGCTTGCCATCATAGCTGCATGCTAGGTTGGTCACCTGTGTAGGAGACAAGGAAAGGAGGTACGGTTTCTTATTCAAACAATCTTTTAAAATGTGCTTTCAGAGTCAAAGGAATTAAGGTGGAGGCATGGTGGTCCCAAGATGGCAATGCTCTAGGACCCTTTGCTATGGCATTTTAAAGTTAGTACTATAGGTCCCTCAGATTGCATTCAATTATGCTGAAATATTGTCAAATAGGAAATCAACACAGATTCTGACTTTGATGAGTATTTTTATAATTCTAAAAATGCATCATCTGTTGAGAGAGCTGAGAGAGCATTTAGTCCTATACTTTAACAAAGAGTTTATGTTAAAGCCCTACTGCACTACTTATAGTTACTTGCTCCCTCTAAATAGAAAACAATGCCTAAATGGTGCCCATTGGTCTCCCATGATCCTCTTTTTCTTATGTTAATTGAGAGCTGAGTTGATGAAATAACCACATGTCAGTGACCACACTGGGTGGTCTAATCCCTCCTGGCCAAACTAGTGCAGACGGGCTTTAAAAAATAGTTAATGTTAATGTTAATGTTAAGGGTCTCGACCAACTACTGTTTCAAAGAAAGTAAACGAGAAATAAACTTACCCCTGAAGGATGTGCAATGAGTGCCATGGCATTGTGTGGGTTACCATCAGGTGGAATCTTATGTAGTCCCACCTTGTCCTTGGTGACGTAAGCCATGTAGCGAGGATCATTCACAGGGTCTTCAGACGGCAGTACCGCAATCCTGCAAGAGGAATGAATCCACAGGAAGTAATTTAAAGGCATCGTTTAACAATGAGATGCATGGCCCTACCTGTTATCAATGCCTGTGATATGGTGTAATATTGTAGCCCTACAGAAATTGCGCTTCAAAATGATCAAGAAGTGCCTCACAAAAGTAAAAGTCTTTGAGTGACCGGGTTTACCATACTCGTTTTTCCCAATAGACTGTAGTGTTATGAAAACCGTTAAAAGATGTATCCTGACATTGATTTTATTACAGTATGTGAAGTGTGAGGAGTAATGCTGTACCACTGACATATGAGCCTATGACAAATCCTTTGGGATATATTTTGTCATAGGCTCAGGGTTAGTGTTAGGTATGCAGTAGTGTTTTTGATTAGGTCAAGGGTTGGTGAGGACTTGGAATTTAATTCATTTGTCTTGACCATGTGGATAAAATGTTGATTTTGGTATAACATGAATTTTATATTGAATAAAGAGCTGGTCATTTTCTTATAAATTCACATATTTCTCCTAGTCATTCTATCTGTCAAAAATATCTTCATATCATATTTGAAACAAAACAATAACAATTTTACCAACCTATTAATTTTCTTAAATAAAAGACACATTTCTAGGCCAGAATGAAGACGGATCAGCACTTACTGTTGAATAGGACTCCCATAGGTGGGGGCTAAGACTGTTCTTCTGCACATCTTTGTAGTCGTGTTGAACAGCTTGAATTTGAACTGCAATAAACAAACAAAATAACGAATATATACGTCTACTCATAGAAAGAACAATGCTAAATAAGAATATTGCATGTTTGAGAGTTAATTAAACATAGTATAAATAGACTTGATATCTGCCATAATTAATACATAATAATGATTATTATCCACAGTTCCAGAATGATGTACCATTCAGTAACTGCTGATAATAATCATGAACTAAAAAAATATGGCAGCTTTCAAGAAAAAATCCTCTTACAGACACTTGTTAAACTAGTATCTATTTTAATCCAAATCCAAAATTTGAGTTTAATAATCTTATGTGTCTAAGAACCGAATCTATACGTTCAGAAAGTATTTTTGTGTCATACTGTTACTGTGAATTTGCTATTGAAGTACCTGATTGTTTGCTGTAATGAAGAACTGTTCCTTAGTGACGGGTGGATACCAAGCAAAGCATTGGGGTACTCCGCTCTGCTCGATGCGATCTGTTGACATCACCTCTAGATGATCCTTAGCAACAGTCTTCAGATTGTACTCGACCTAATAGGGCATAGAATTGATTAAAGATTAGTTTACAAATATGATAACATGCCACTTGAAAATAAATGTATTCTGTATGTCGTTGCACTTTGAGAGGAGATACTGAAACATTGAGCAAGCTTGTTAAACATGGCTTCTTTTTCTTCTTCTTTTTTTATATAAAGAACATCTTCTATATGCACAAATTCTGTGTTGCTAACTAAATAATCTACTTTTAATCAACCTAAATGCAATTACAACTCCCTTGTGCATCACCTATTGATAGAGTCAATAAGACATTAAAAAGATAAAAAGAAACAACTTTAAAAAGTCAATATTTAAAGACGGGTGGACTTTCTACACAGGGTGTTACTAAATCAGGTTTGACTGTATAATGATTAACCCAAATTGGATACAAGTTGATTTTGATATAACTCTGACTAAGGTTAAAGATAGGGAACCTACCAGCGCTCTGTCCTCTCCAAGGGACAGTAACCTTGATGCTCCAGAGTCCAGAGCGACCCCAAACGTGATGCCTCTGATGTGCTTGTAATGAGCCCGATGTTTGCCCATGTATACCCATGGTTCCTGACTGTTAGGAGACTCCGCCTTGTATACGGTTACACAGAAATCAGCATCCTGGTGAGGAGAAAGAGATGGGAACATGCTGGTGATACATTTCAATTCAATTAAAAATGGTTTATTTCAAATAAAACTTTCATTGCAGCGTTTAGCCGAATTACAAAAGTTTACAAACAAAATTAATAACACATAATGAAGTACCTACAACATAGCATAATACGATATATTGAATTTGAAAAATAAATCAGTATAAATACAAGAAATATAGCTTATTGCAACATATGGAAACACAAATTAGAAAGAAACTAGAATTAAATAGCATAAAGTAACATAGTTCTACTGAAATCAAGTTATCTTTCTAACATCTCATGTGTTTTACAATGTAAATGTACTGTACTTATTGATGATTGGTACATGATTTCTACAAAGATTTTAATAAGAAGTGGAGAACTATATGTTTCAGTGTTTGAAACCCTAGCTTACTTTTAATCAAAATAGAATGAGTGTACTTTTTTCATCCTAACTCTTTTGAAGAAGGAATAAAATGGATGTAAAAACAAAAACTCCTTGACATTTTTTCATGTTCCATCATAGTATACATTTGACTAGGACTTACAATAGTCAATCACAGACACAACTGCACTGCATTTCTACAAATATCCAAAAATCTAGTCTAAGCTACTCTGTGTAATTACCATTAATGAATTGATATCCACAGTTGAAGGCCAGTGAATTATTTTTCCCAGTTCTCACAATGTTCCATAAAGAGTAAGAAGCATAAATATGAATAAAGCAGAGACCAAACAGAATTATAAATGACATATCAAAAATGATATCATCAGGTTTTGTTTTGTAACTTACAGCTGTAGCCATCCACTTGGAGTCATGTGAGAAGGTCACATGGGTGACAGCATCACGAGAGTAACGGAACGGTTCCGGGTTCTCATCAATCAATGTCAATGCATCCAGGATCCGCACACAGCCGTTCTCAAAACCAACACCTGGAAACAGGGCAATTTGAGAAGACAACATCAATGAACAATGTCTCATTCGAAGCTATTACATGTACTATCATGTCGATGCATATCTGTCATGAATCTGCTATCAAAATCTGTGTGTAATTAAAGATGGGTAGGATCTGATAATTATAATTATAATTATAATTTTGGTAGTACACCTATGATCATAGTTGGTGAAGCATTATACAGAGAAATTGGAGAATGCAAAGCCTTGTTTTTAGGATTTTGAGAACACTCAATATTCATTAAGTATACATAAAGGAGTATCAAGTATTACAGATATTCTAGGACAAAATGCAATACTGAAAGTAAACCATAAATATCAATGTCATGTTGACAATACAGTCAAGATAAGTTATAACACAGAAAATGGTATTCAAAGTTAATTCTGATCCATCTAAAGATAATTGCATGGTTTGCATAAGATTTACCCCATCATCAGTGAGAGTCATTTCAGCTTGTAATGTAACATCATGATGCTTACATAACTGACTCTTTGTAAATACAAATGGAAAACATGTTTCATAAAGGCTCGTTCAGATATAATGTATTAAATTGCTGCAAAAAAAAAGAAGACACATTTTTTAAACATGTGAATGTATTGCTTAACAAAGGCCTGTGCATACTCACTGAGCTCTGTGTTATAGGATACAGAAATATGAAGCGTATTACTCTGTATGTCATCTTATCTAAACTAGGCTTAACACTGTCTTTGCATAAACTATTTGTAAGTTAGACAGCAGAGTGAAGGTTGGAGTGAGAAGTTGTCTGAACACTCACCTAAATAAGATCCAGTCGGATCATATCCAACACATCTGATCAAGTTACCTCTTGGAAACTTTCTAGAAGCCATTACTTGTCTGAAAGATAAAAACAATCATTTTATAAAGTCACAAAATAAAAACGATTAATTACACGTTATTGCATTATTAATGTCAGTGCGGCCAGATTGGTACGATAGATATTCATTGGCCAAATTATGTCACGGAAGAACATCAAGTTGAGAATCAGAGAGAGTGAAATAAGAAGCATTTATTCCACAAAACCTTCACTCTTAAACTTTGCCTTTAATTGCTATCAATTTTACCTTCCAAGCTTAAAATCTAACAATTTATTATATGACTATATTTAAAACTGATAAGAAAATAAAATAATTAAAACATGTTTCTAAGCTGCTCAAGAACTAAATAGCACCCAAAAAAGGACTTGTGTCCTTTTGAAATAGGTGATGGTAAAAAGTTAGTTTGGATTTCGTCTGTCAAACCCCCAACCCCATAAATCAAATTGGCTTTGTTGACATAATCTAATATCCTAGCATTGACTAAAAACACTCAGCCTGTATGTTCATCATACTCACTTGTTTTCATAGTTCCAAACTTTCAACAGGCCTGCAAAGCTGCCAATAACCACAAACGGTCTGGGAAATGAAACACATACATGAAATATTAAGCAATTTGTAATACAAAATATTATTCTATATTTTCTTTTGATATTGTTGTGTTACATGTCAAAATTTATGAGGTCATTGTATTTTCGTTAAGAAAAGTATACCGTATGAAATAAAGTTAGTTTCAAGGAGATCACTAAATGCAAGAGATGCCTGCATGGATGTGTCAACTCTCTCTCGCTCTCTCTCTCTATCCCTCTCTACCCCCCCCCCCTCTCTCTCTCTCTCTCTTTCTCTCTTCTGGATGAGCTTATATTTTTCAACAGTTTTAAGAGCCACCTCTTTGTTTTTATATTTGGTTAACAAACAATCAAACAATATTAAATGAAGGAGATGACTTACTGTGAAGGATGAGTTGTCAATGCACGAATGGGCTTATCATGCTCCTCCAGTATCATCTAGAAAGAAAGAAAAAGTTTTTAAAATAAACAACTGTGTGAAACAAAGAAATGAAAACAAACATAAACAGAGTTTAATGTAATGAAATAGAATTAGAGGAAATGCTATGACATAGTCGCCAAAGAAATGTGTTTTAATCATCAATGTTCTGGAATATCCCAACTTTCTAATGAACTAAACCGTGATGTTTGTTCCATTAAAAAATTAAACAAGTTTGGAGTTTAAATCTCCAGTGGTTCTTGAGATATCATGATAACAATCTCAATGTATGGAATTTCATAAGTTGACCTCTGTGACCCTTGACCTTTGACCTACGTGCTCCAAAATCTAATCAGATTGTCTTCCTATGGTGATACACACTATCATTAAGTTTGAAGTTTAAATCTCCAGTGGTTCTTGAGATATTATGATAACAATCTCAATGTATGGAATTTCATAAGTTGACCTCTGTGACCCTTGACCTTTGACCTACGTGCTCCAAAATCTAACCAGATCGTCTTCCTATGGTGATACATACTATCCTTAAGTTTGAAGTTTTTACATCTCCAGTGGTTCTTGAGATATCATGATAACAATCTCAATGTATGGAATTTCATAAGTTGACCTCTGTGACCCTTGACCTTTGACATACGTGCTCCAAAATCTAATCAGATCGTCTTCCTATGGTGATACATACTATCCTTAAGTTTGAAGTTTAAATCTCAAATGGTTCTTGAGATATCGCGTTAACAAACTCAATACAAGGAATTTCATAAGTTGACCTCTATGACCCTTGACCTTTGACCTACGTGCTCCAAAATGTAATCAGATTGTTTTCCTATAGTGATACACACTATCACTAAGTTTGAAGTTTAAATCTCCAGTGGTTCTTGAGATATCATGATAACAATCTCAATGTATGGAATTTCATAAGTTGACCTCTGTGACCCTTGACCTTTGACATACATGCTCCAAAATCTAATCAGATCGTCTTCCTATGGTGATACATACTATCCTTAAGTTTGAAGTTTAAATCTCAAATGGTTCTTGAGATATCGCGCTAACAAACTCAATACAAGGAATTTCATAAGTTGACCTCTGTGACCTGTGACCTTTGACCTACGTACTCCAAAATCTAATCAGATCGTCTTCCTATGGTGATAAATACTATTCCCGAGTCTTAAGTTTAAATCTTAAATGGTTCTTGAGATATTGTGATAACGGTCAAACGGGACGGACGTACGGACGGACGTACGGACGAACGGACGTACGGACGTACGGACGGACAACCCGAAAACATGATGCCTCCGGCACCACCTTCGGTGGCGGAGGCATAAAAAAATTGACCAAAGATTGATATAAACTTGGCTGCAAGAGTTTCCCAATCATTTCATGTACACACTCATCTTGGGTGACATTATACTCAACTATTTTTGAAAAAACTCCCATTACCTGTTCCTACCTAGCATCTTATCAGCGAGACAGTGAGATATGATACAGCAAGATACAATCAAACCTGCTTTAGTGACCACCTGTATAGAAAAACCACCTGCATACAAAGACCACATTTTTTGTTTCCCTTGAAAATGGTTTCTCATTGAAACATGTACTAAATGAACCTTTTAACATGAGCCTGTACATAACTTGAGACCACCTGCCTATAAAGACCACTTTCCTTGTCTCCCTTGGGTGATCTTTATAGACAGGTTTCACTGTACATACCTTGACCTGTACCCCATCAGCAACCACGAGGGCGACCTGTGCATTGGAGGTACTGACGATGAAATCTCTAGTCACAAATGACTTGGCATGGATGGTTGCATCCTTAGGGTATTCACTGTCTGGTTTGGCACTGATTGAGGTTAGAAGTACAGATAGGAGATCACGTTGTGAATGACAGTACATGTATGTCTGTGGTTTACAACATTAACCCTTTGCTTACTGGAACCTGGTGGCCTCTGTGTTAAGCCTATGGCAACAAATACATTCAGTAGTCAACGGCTTAACGTTCAACCTAAACTTTGGCTGGCCTATTCCTTTCATTTCTGTAGTGATATAAATGCACACGTCAGTATTATATTATATACCATGTATTATTGTTATTACTGTTGGTCCTTTTGACCTGCTCTGCATTGCAGTCCTGTATTCTTTTGAGTTCCTGTCCCCTTATTTAATATATATTTATTTTATTCTTATCTTTTCACATCTCTTCCTTTTACATTTGGTGTATTTCTGATTTCTTAACTATTTCTCTTCTTCCACTTGACTCTCTGTTAATTTTTTTCTTTTCCATTCCTCTACACCAGTTTCCTAAAATATATCTCTTCTTCTATCCTGCATCTATAGGACCCCAAAAAGCATCATTACACACCAAGAACAAAAAACATATATTCAAAAATTGTGTACGATTTAACAAGAATGATGCATCTTCTACCTAAAGACTGCACAATCATGATATCATTTCTTAAACTTTTAGAAGACCATAAGTTAACTGCAATAATTGGGAACCATTTCACAAAGCCTTTTTTCAATGACAAATGACAATTTAGTGACAAATCAGCTGATAACCAATCAGAAGCAAGGATTTCACTAGCTTATAACAAATACTGTCATTTGTCACTGATGACAAGTTTTGTGAAATGGGTCCCTGGTCTTGATACTCACTCAGCATTGAACTCTGGTACATAGGCAAACGAGACCGAGTTGATGGGACCAACGCTGAGTTCACTGTACCAGTTTGACATCCGAAGTTGAAGGTCATAGAACTTCACATGGCCTAAAACATCTCCAGTCACAACAAACCTACAAATCAAATGGATAAAATGGATATAAGCTATAAAATTGGATAAAAGCTATCAACTTCACAATTTCTCCTTATCATTTCTGGCTGAAGATTCGTTGAAAGGCTGGCTTCTAGCTGTATAAACTTGAAATGGCTTTTTATTAGTTGCATTACTGTATAATTCATTTCTGATTTTTTTTTCTTTCTTTTTTTCTTCTTCAACTTAATGTATTATTCATGAATTAATTATAATTTACATGTAGAGACTGTTTTTTAAACTATGAACATATTCTGGAAACACTTTTTCTCTATTGCTGACTTAACTTCACAGACGTTATGGATATGTAAAAACATAACAAAACATGTACTAGTAGGTAAGGGTAAATCATCCAATGGGTTCATGTTATCATATCAGTTACAAAGACCTCTTTCCTTCTTCTTCACTAACCTGTCTGTTGTAGTGAGGACTGTGATACCTCTCTCCTGTAGCCTGACGAGCTTGAAGGCTTTCTTGTTGGGTGATGGTTCTAAACTTGGGGCTGAGGATAACACAAAATATAGAACAATGGTACATTTACTTCATAAAGAGCTTTCTTGTTTAGACTTGCAATCGATTGTAAAAATATGTTTGTACGTAGTCCATCCTTCAATACAATTTTACTGAGAGTACTGAACTCAAATACATTTTACTGTTATGTTACAAAATCAAAAAGTTAAACTTGCTCCCTATCTCTCTCTTTCTATTTCTCTCTCTCTCTCTCTCTCTCTCTCTCTCTCTCTCTCTCTTTCTACCCATCCCTTGTAGATCAATAACAGGGGGCACTAAGATAAAATCCTAGATTCAAACTTCAGCATTCTAATCTTGCTACATCAATGGTACAAACACTTGTATAAGTATAGGTTAGTACAGATATGCAACAAATTCTCCACAACAGAAAGGAATGTCCACTTACGTCCAGACGTTGGTCTATTGCTGTCCCATACCACCACATTACCAGCAGCTGTAGCGGTCAGTGCTCTGGTGCTGTTCTGAGAGAATATGGATTGACTGAAGTTTCCGACCACTCTGTTGAAGTCTTGGTCAGTCAACGGAGGAGCAAAGACCTCAATCTTCTCTCCACCCTGTTAGGATTGAGATTAAAATATCAAGTTGTGATGAAAAAGGTTCAGACCGAAATCCCACCCTTATCCAAATTTATCAATAGGTCATAATCTTAAACTAATAATGAATATGAAATAGATATTTGGAGCTTCCAGATAAGCTTTCAACAAAAACATATTTTTAAGCGTATGCTACAACAAGGTAGAATATTTGCAAATGCAGATTAATGATACAAAACACATGTATCTGATGATTTGAATATAGCAAAATTGTTTGTAATTAGGTTAATTAAATCTCCTGTATAAAAGTTGTTAATTCTTATCCAGTATGCAGAATGGGTATTGCTAAACAATGAATATTTCACTTTGAAAAAACTTTTTTCTTTTGCATAAATGAGCAGGAAAAACAAATTCAAGACAAATTGCAAAGTCTCATGAAGACTTATCAAGTTTTACAGTATTATGTACTGGTATTCATTTATTTTTCTCATTTTGAAACATGCTTACCCATTTGTAGAAGATGACTTGTGTGGGGCTGTTTGAGACGATTTGATAATGATCTTCTGGATTAAACAAGACATAGGTCTGTTGACCATAGTTGACTCCTAGTTCCTTGCTAGCCACTGGGTATTCACCATTGGTAGTCCAGTCCCAGATAGACAGGGTCTGAAGAATGGATAAGAAAGACAGAATGTAAATATACAGAATCAGAGACATGTACAGAGATATGAATCACTGCCTGGGGGAATAGGAAGTGGCGCATATAATAATAATAATTATAATTAAATAGTGTTTGTAGATCGTATAACACATAGGCATACTCGCATGTCTCAGTGCGCTTTACAGAATAGAATACAAAAGGAGTGGAAATGGTGCACTGGGTTCATTATTAGGAGATCGTACAGATTATTTCATTGCTTGATTAAGTCCTATTAAATGACAACAAGTTTCAACTTTCAATTCAAGATATATATTTCACAAAGAAAATAAAAGAATCAAAATAATTGTTGAATTTTATAAGTAACAAACTTTTGAGAATTGGAACTTTTGGCAAAATTTGGCCAATTTCCTGTCCATATTTCTCCATTCTCACTTCTTCTTCTCTCTTAACTTCTTATTGCTTCTCCATATTTGTCTTGATCTTCATATTCTCTATCCTCCTCATTATTTCTTTTTCCTCTTCTTCTTTTTCACTGTTCCATTTAGGCAAATTCAGAGAGTTAAAAAGAACTGTTTGTCAATTAGGAAGCTTGGTATAGATGTATACAGTCGTACTGACTTGTGAAGGGAAGCTCACCTGTTTCTTAGCTGCACTGAGTGTGACAATGTATTTAGCATCGAGTGTCATGTTCATACCTACTACACCACCGTCTGGGTGAGGGTCAAAGATCGTCTGGACAGGAGTCCTGAGTAGAATACAAGATAGAGTGATGAGCTTACTTGCATATGCTACTTATAAATGAGCTAATACAAACATTCACAGATTTTCACCAAGGTGCCAAAAAAGGGAGAAAATATATATGCACATGCTTGCATCACAGTTAGGCAAACATATACTCAAGATTCATGAAGCTGAATCTATGTGATATCTTTCAAAATTCATTTCCGTAAAAGGCAATTAGAAACACACTTCTCGAAAATTCCTATCCCAATGTCTTGCTTATATATTGTGGCTTTACATACAAAATGAAGATTTGTTACACTACCTCAATATCATCACAGCATTCTATTACAAGCACAATATATACAGATTTGAGTTGCAGACCATTAAATTTCCATGCTTGATTTTCATAAGGTGTCTTAGAACTCATGTAAATTGTATCTCTTAGTGAGAACTCCAAAAGAAACTAAGAAGACTCAACGTACCCTGAATACGTATCCCAGATGATGATCATACTGTTTTCTCCTTTATCAGCCGTCGCTACCCATCTCTTATCTTGAGAAGCACAGATGCAAGTGATGTTGTTACACTGTTGAAAAAAGATTAAAATATTCTTTCTTTTAGTACACTTCAAATATCTTTAAATGTCCAATGCATTGAATTATTCATTCATGTAGATTGAATTGTTTTATTCATACATGTACTTATATATTCTATTTGCACATACATCTGGCATACACAAAGGAACCAAAGTCTCACTCACTTTCATTCCTTAAATTTTGTTTTCAGATATGCATTATATTCTTCTCAAACTCACACATAACTAATCCACAAAGTGATGGAAAACTTCTTTTTTTTTTGGGGGGGGGGAGGGTTTATGTAACATATTCTAGCTGTATACTAGTTCATATTATTTTTTAGGAGATATTTTTAATCAAACAAAAATGTTATTGTGACACTACTGTGTAATCTGCAATCATATCGAACACATTGAGTATACATAAGGAATACTCACATGCCCTTGGAGTAGTTTCTGTGTATTCTTATCATAGCTGGAGAGCACTGCAGTGTTGCCACAGACATAGATGAGCATCTTCCGGTGCTGGTCAGTCAAGTTGATGGCTGGAATGTACTTGTTGACCCCAAATGACCAGGTCATATTCTGAGGATACAAAGATGGAAATTGATTAAAAAGGTACAAGAATTGGGTAAGATACAACCATGTGATCTTTTTGCTATCACACCATACCACAATAAACAGTAAATGACAGGTTGGGAGACAGAAAGAGATCAATATCTCTCAACATCGTTAATTTTAGGACTGTTTGGACCGACAACGAATAAGAATTCTCCCAAATTTGCAATTTACAAAATCAATATATTTGCTGGTACTATGTTCATAGATTACTGCACATAACATTCCCATCAGAAAAACAGTCTGATAAAACATGTACACTGCATAAAAAAAACATTAAACAAAGATGTTTGAATGTATTCAAGTTATCTCAAATTGACAATGGAGAGATTACTATTTTGTCCTTACCACAATACTGTGCCAAAGCATCTAAGTATTGTCCCATTATTACCACTAAATGCAATTTGTGCACCAATGTGAAGGTGCATAATGAACAAGTGGTTTAAATGTAGGTTGATGAATACTGACTGTTCAAAATCAATAACCTAACTCTCAATTAACATCTTAAGCCTCTTTGATTCTGACTGTACACATAATAAATAACTGACTTCTTGTACAACTACCTTTTTTTAAATTTCGAGATGTGATATATATCTTACCAGTGCATTTGGAGTAACATCCATGTTAAGGTAATCCTGAGCAGCACTGCTCTCTGCTCTCGACTTATCTACATCCTTAGGCAGAGGTGGGCCAGAGCTGGGTGGGTCGGGTACCCCATTGGGCGAAGGTGGTTCCATGAGTTCTGGTTCCTGTCCCTCCTCCTCCTGGATGCCCTGTTCTCCAACTTCTCCTCCTTCTTGGGGTGGGGCTTCTTCCGTAACCCCTCCCAACTGAGCATCAGCCTCTTCAGCAGCTTCTTCTGGAACATTGTCCTAAAACAGAAATGGAATTTAATTAAAATAATCCTCATCATTATCAGACTACCTGGGCAGTTTTGCGAACTTTTTACTTAATAAATGGTATACTAATAGTAAAATTGCATTATTTATTACTGACATATCTGAGACAAGGTTTACAGAAAGAGTTTTCCTCATCCCATACAGCCCCATGTCGATCACAATTTTAAATATGGTTTAATACCAGAAAGTTTAAATAATCATTTCCTTGCATTAAGATTTGGGATGGTGTAGCCGTAAAACTAAATATACATGCATCACTATTTTTGTTGCTGTTTGTCATTATGATTAAATGGTAAATAAGGCACAGAAAACAACATCACAGTCTACTTCAAATGTATTCATCTGATATTTCATGTGGTTGCAACGTGACATTTATTTTCATAATCATAACTTGCAATGATGATAATAAGAAGTATTCATTTAAATGCAGTTTTCTTACTACCATGAAGCAAAAACACGTAACACCTACTGTTTCAGAAGCTTTTGTCTCTGTCGGAGGTGTCATTCCTCTTGCTCTCTGTGGCACCTCTTCTTCTTTCTCTCCTTCCACTTCTTGTCCTCCTCCTCCTTCTTCTTGTGCTCCTCCTCCTTCTTCTTGTGCTCCTTCCTCCACTGGTTCTTCTCCTTTCTGTCCATCCTCTGCCTGTTCTTCAGTCACTTCTGTTGCTTCTCCTTCATCTCCAGCTGGTTTGCTATCATCTTCCTGGGGCTCTGCAGGTCCGCCGTCTGCTGGCTCAGCCTCATCATCTCCATCATTGTTATTTGTAGATTCCTCTGCAGGTTCCAGAGTTGCTTCTGTCTGCTCTGTTACCTGTGGCTCATCCCCTTCTCCTCCTGTCTCTGCGCTGGGTTCAGCATTTTCAGTGGCTTGCTGTTCATCTGCTGGAGCTTCTGTTGCAAAAGACATGAGTAGACTTTAAAGTTACCTAACTTATCACAGCTTAAATATTCATATCAACTCTGAAACATAAAGCAAACACTACTGCTATCTAGTAGTAGTAGCTATCTGTTGCGAAACGACAATGACCGCCTTCACTTTTAAATAACATAATCATGAAGGCTGCTTGCAAAGATGGGTACATGTAAGTATCGGTAGCTCTTGCCACTTACTAACGGCACTTTCTCTACTGACCTGATAATCACAGTATTAAACCATACCTGACATTCTACCTGATAGGTAATCTGTAAAGCTTAGAGCAAGAAGGCATTAACTCTTATCAATGAATACAATGCTCTTTGAATATGAAAATACAATATGAAACATGGGGGTTCCAAAGACCCAGCTCTAAATTACAGAAGTTGTACTAGCAGGCTGTTTATATACCTTTTATCAGACTTGTACTTACATCTGTACTGCACCTAAACAGTACACCAATGCAAGTTTTACTGCAACTGAAGAAGAAGAAGAATTAGGGCTACATACCTTCTGGAGGTGGCTGCTTTTCGTCATCCGCCATGTTGAAAACTTCCTGTTAGATAACTGTGCTGATGGTACTCCGTTCTATCTGTCAGGTAAAATAGACGAAAATGTTCTTCATTAAATTTACAATGTGAAACAGAGAAATGAAATGCCAAGACTACAGACCTTTGTAATTATTGAAGAAATTAAATAATTCTTCATCACTAATAAAGAAAGGAAAGGCTGTTTTCATAATTCTTCTGATCTTTTTTAAATTTCATAATTCCATTAAAGCAATTTGTGTAAAAAGGGGTGCGCGCAGGAATTTTGATAAACTCAGCGAACGTGCATCAAACCAATCACCATTATTGTGAAGTAAGTATCCAATTAGCATGTATTTCCGTTTTCAGTAGAACCAAGCATTGCAAACTCTCGTGAGAGGTCAGCGTTTTTGTAATGTACATCGCATGTTAGCTCATTATCATCACTAATCAGGAACACATGGAAGGTAGGCAAATCGCTCTCAAATTTTATTGGTCAAGTTCTTGACCGATTCAAAGTGCTTTGAATGAGGAGAAAGAAGAGTCCAGTATAGCAAAAAGGTTTACATTTTACGGAAGTGTCATCAACACATGTCAATGGTCAACATCATTGCAATGCAGATCGTAAAGTCATCCGTTACATGTGAAAAAGAAGCAAAGCTGTATTGCTCTGGTAAAATATTTGCTAATTTTAGGTCATTTTTACCTCCGATTTTTGATCGCAGTGCATCATTGGGAGTAGGAGCGGGATAGAAAATGTTAAAGCCACTGTCCAATATTCGTTGTGTGTGGGAAGGGGTGATTTTGGACGTATTTTAGGGTTTGTTTACCTGCCTCTCAGCACAGGTTTTGGGAGCCAGTTAAAACATGGTGATATCAATATCAACAAATATCAACAAATATATTTAAAAAGTCATTATCACCAAGCCCTAAGGCTAATGGGTGCCAATTAAGGTTAGGACCTAGGTGGTATCAATATTATATTTCATGTCATTACATAGCCCAAAAAGGTTAATTTTCAACCATGTAACATTAAATTTGGCAAGAGTGAAAACAGTACTCAGTAGCCCATCCTGTCGCACTTCTTCATGCGTTTGCATTTTCGATGTCGGATATTTCCAAATTAATTTTACACTCTCTTTATCAACCATTATGAGAGCATCATTGATTGAGGCCTTTCCCTCTCAAAAATGTTCTCCAAAAGTAAAACACTAAAGAAAATACAAAGTGAACAACATCTCACTTTCTTGTCCATAAAAACAATACTCAACAACACTCTCTAGCAGCAAAATTTATCTCACTCAGTTTAAATTTATCAGGTAAAACAAGTTAAAATTAGATTCAGACCACAGTATGGTGGTTTTTATGACTTTTTTAGATGCAGCGCGCATGCACGATTGGACATCAAATTTTTAGATCGTGATATCTCCGAAATCCTTCAACGATAAATATTCTAGATTTAGTTGAACCAATCTGTAGTAAAAAACTTTGCCGTCCATTTGGTAATAGTTGAAATAAATAAATTTGTGTAGAATATGAGAAATCATAGATCGAATATCACATTTTGTAATATGTTCTAAAATATCCGCGAACTTTGGTCACCCCTTCAAGCTTCATACTGTTGTCAGGACAGTAGAACTAGCACTACCAGTACCAGTCTACGAAATGTTCAATTCATTCTAGATCTACGTCTCTACTAGTAGAGTCTACTACGTGAAGATCTACATCTTTCACGTAAAAAATCACCATGGAATTAACTATTAGTTGTTCAATGTAGTAACGCGTCGTCGATGCATAGGTATATAGATCTAGGGCGGCTTTATCTTCGACGCGCTGTGCGCCGAGAAGCCGATCGAGAGTTCATACTTAAGCAACATGATCACGAGCGTGTGGGACTGTACTAACGACAATTCGGTTTTTATGTCGGTGTATTTCCTACATTCCTCAGGCCTATATCTTGTTTCTTGCATGATGTAAAACGATTCATGCATTATTTAATCCATTTATACACTCTGTGCTATGTACAAAACACTGAAAGTCAATAATATACAAATGATTCCCAACAAACATTGCTCTTACCTTACTCAGTCGTCAAGGAGATTATTGTTTACCAGCAATATGAAACTAGCCAACAGATTTTTAGTACCTAGTGATCCTATGGTATCCTTAATGCGCGTTCTAGAATGGTATATTCTAATGTCGAATATAAAAACGATACTTTTGGCCGTCCTCAAAACAATGTAAAATGGCTTAAATGGGTATTCTTTTTTTCAAATTGTGTATAATAAAGAACAAAATAACAATATAATTATAACAGGCGGATCCTGATCTGGGGTGGGACTCGGGCTACCGGTCTTGTCTTGTCCTTTATATAATTATATAGCCCTACACTTTTTTCTTTTCTCGTAGGTGTGCCAATTCCCTTCAGTATTAACATTTTCTGGCATCTTATTTCTGGAATTCACTCCTTTCACCCTGCGCACCCCCCCCCCCCCACCTCCCTCTCTCTCTCTCTCTCTCTCTCTCTCTCTCTCTCTCTCTCGCTCTCTCCCTCTCTCTCTCTCTCTTTCTCTCTCTCTGTCATACCCTCACTTTTATTCGGTTTGTCCCCACATGAAGCTGCACTATGTAATGTAATAAAATTAGTACTTATTTTTCTAAAGAATCTTAAGAAATCAAATTAAGTTGATTCGTGTTACTTACCGCAAATGAGTCAGAAGCGTTTCAGTCTGTTTGAGCTGAGTTTCGGTCTGTACTGATAGAGTGCAGGTCAGATTATATTTGTATTTTCCGATTCCCCCCCCCCCCCCCCTATTCAATGATTATTGCATAGATATTGCTCTCGCATTCTGTAGGTTAGCAGAATATGCAGCATGTACATGAAATATTTGCACTTGTACCATTGATTACACTGAGCACACTGCACGTGTGATTTTAATGACTTGAACTTGCTTAGTGATAAACTTAGTTTTTCCTTGAGACATCTCTCAGCAGATAACCAAATAGAGAAGGCATTTAAGACCACCAAAAAAAGAAGGTTTAAGAAAAGATGAAGTTGTCCCGTGAGGGGAAGGATATACAAGCCCTTAAATAATGTTTGCCTGCAAATTTGAGCACACTTTCTCTGTTGTCATAATGCCTGCATGCTATTGGGTTTTGCCGAGGGACACATGCACACCCCCCCCCCCCCCCCCCCCCCCCCGTGGCTATCCACAAATGTTCTTCCGGATATTGTTTTATCATGTTTATAAGCAATTCAAAAGTTAGGACAATGGACTAAAATACATATAAAGATACCGATATCTTTAATAATTACATGCCCTGTATTCAAAGTACTTTTGAACTTTGTATTCAGATAAAAATGTTATTAACACCATCTACCATAATTTTGATGATAGAATAATATGGTTCTTAAAACACTAAAGTGTGTATTGCTATATTCTATATTGGAAAATATCCTTATCGTTAAGCTGGTACCTCAATAAAAAAACTCATATTCCATGTTAAAAAAATAATGTGAACCACATTATTATACGCACAATTCACATAATATTTACTTTACAGCGTCTGACATTCAAGATTTAAAAACATTTTGAATAACATGTTTTCTATCTAGTGTCGAACTTTACTTTAAGCCAGTAAACAAGAGGTGGATATGAACTTGTATGGATTCATAAACCTTTCTCCCTGACAATATCTCAAACAGCCTCTTCATGATATCTAGAATAATTTTGTGTATATTAATTTTAGAATTATATTCAAGTTACATGTTTTGCATGTAGTAACTATTCATTCTCAAAATTAACATCACTTAGAACCATATATACATTTAAAAAAAAAAATTAAACCAACAAAACACAAGTATTGCATTGCATTTTCTACTTTTCGTTCACTCCTCCATTTGCTATACAAAAAAAACAAGCAAACGGGACTGTCGATTCGTGTAACGTCAAATTCTTAATAATACGGCTACTCCATTGTATCGGGCAAAGTTTTCGGATTTTAGATTTATATCTTGTAGGGTTTCTTAACCTCTCTCCATAATCTTCTCCATATCTAACGAGCAGTTTGAGAGCACTGTAGTTGCCCTATTCTTTCTAAAGGTCATCCTCTTTGCGTGCTATGTCTGGAGTTCGCACACGTATGGGAACTCTGTAATATTTGCATTCGACTGCACTAAGTATACAATCATTCATTTTATGTGAATGGTGGGTTGGGGATGTGCAGATTGAATTGAATTGAATTGAAGATATTTCCACTTATCCGTTTTAAATTCATGTTTAAGCATGGCAAAAACTATTTAAAAGAAATAAGGTGGTACAAGCAAATAACCAAAGAAGAAGACAAATCATGTGAATGTTGGGGGATCATAAAAAGTTTGGCACAGTTTCTGCTAAACATAGTCCCATTAACATGAAAACAAAATAAACATCATAGGTATAGAAAAAGATGCAGGCCTATAATACTATAAAGGGCTAAATGGCTCTCGTTATCAGAACCATTCAGTAATAATAGTCATACAATATGCCAATACAGTATACGTTTGAATATGCAGTGATTTGCTACTATTTGGTTAGAGCATTGTGTCAATCTTTTACTGATCATGATAGGCCTATATCATTAACAATAATATACCCATGATACACGTGACGTTAAGGAAGGATCATTGTGCATAAAGGAGACTAAGATATTACTAAACAAAACCTATCCATGTAACTTTCAAACAAAATATAATACAGTATAGGGTGGTATACCAAATCAACAAAGCCATTTATGATCGGAAGGTTCAGTTACCCTAGGCCGTCTATGATTGTGTTTGTTGCTTCTTTTATGTTAGCATTTAACTTTTCTCTCTGTTTTCTATTTTGTTTTTTCAAAGAGAACAGAAATCTTAGCTATTCTGAATGCCCTTCATTCAATCGTCTCATTATAAAATTCTCTATGCTATAGCAATGTCTCATTAGTTACAAATCTATATCGATGACATAAAAACATGTGCCGTTTAATAAGCTAAAGTAGACACTATTGAAAGAGAAGTTACATCCATATTTAGCTCAGAGTAGAAATGGGTCTAATGCCAAGACTATAACAATATCGACCGACTACAGTGAGGACCAAAGAAAATACAATGAAATGTTGAAAACAGAGAGAAAAGGCAAAATATCACGGTAGAGCGAATGCCTTTTGAAGAAATTCCCCATGACTTGTGTTCGTATATTTCAGCAGCTGCATGAAAACGGAACGTGTAAGCTACTTATCAGTATCGGAGAATTATCAAGATTATTTCTATATGTATGCGTATATTGCACAATCACAGTATATTCAATAAAGTGTGCTGCATATAACACGGAATTAAGGATTCCGTTTTGCTAGTACAAACAACTGTAGAAAGTGGATTAATAATAGAAACTCTGACAAACAGCAAAACCACGGACTCCCTTGGCGTATAACAACACAATACTGGATTTTAGTTTGCATATAGCTCCTGCTCAGCGGGGTAGTTCTCTAATTGGTGGGTAATATTTTGAAAGGAGGTTGAGAAATCTGTGAAATAAACGTGATAATATATCGTTTATTAGACTTTGGGTGATTTAGCAGGAATCTGGCGCCGTTTGGTAGGATTCACGCCAAAGTCGGACGGCCTTGACTGGTATTAGAAACGCACAGGCAACAACCACATTATTTTGACCGACGTACGCGGAGAGCATATTATTGGACGTGGCTGACTGTGTGTGCGCCGGTGTACGGGAAAAGATGTATGGCAGTGCCAAGTTATTATGACTGTATTATATGGAATCTCTATAATCATATTTTAGTCATTATTGTCGAAGCGATTAGACCAACAAGTGAGCGGCCTATATCTGCAACGTATTATACTAGTAAGTATATCATGCGTGTTATCCGCATACTGCATGCATTTCTATGTCACTACGTCTTTTAGTTTGAAAACGATGCTTGGAATTTGAAAATATAGAAATATTGTTATAATAATGATAAGTTGTTTGCATATTTCTTGTTTATGACAATTAAACAATGAAGTGTTTACATGACAATAGGCCAAGAATATTCACAACCAGGTTCCTCTTCATTGTGTATAATATAGTAGGGTATCTTGGATGTGTCATCACGAATTTTGCGAATGTTTCGTCTCTTCTTCTAGGTTTGTTTTGGTTTGTGCCTACATAAGCTTCATTCACTTTAATTTTCTCCGGGAAAAGTTAACAAGTGTCACCTTTTAAAAAGCACACACGAAGGTTTCTCGTGAAGTATTTACCATTATTTTAAGTCGCAAAACCATGTCAATCATAATAATACTAATAATAATAAGCATTGAATGTTTTTTTATAACATGTTTATTAAGAAATGGGATGATGCTATTATGTTTTAATTTGTATATTTCGCAGTCAGAAATCGTGCCTTGATATAAATGATAATTTGTTTTGTCATGCAGCTAAATGATTTTAGAGATATCTATGTTTCTCTTCGTATAACAATGGTTTCGTATATTAAAACAAATTCAATTTTCATTTACTGTTATTTTCGACTCGATCAATAAATGTATCTGATGCTAGATCAATTTAGATACCCAATGTCGCTGACTTGATGAATAATTTAATCTTCGTGCTAATGATCAATTGTGTCAATGCTAAGCGGTAAAGGCAACAGTGAACACCTCATCAAATTTGTCATTATTATGTTTAGCCTATAATTAATTTCTCAGCGGGGGCAGATCATTCCAATTCCAGCAACTTTCATCATCATTAAGTTTTGTTTTATGCCATACTCTCCAGAGTATCAATTTGATTAATTTGCATGAGACTCCTTCACCAGTAATAGTATTGCTGAAGTCACGAACAGCAATTAAAGCCAGACAACAAAGCTAAATGTATTGTGTCTTGTATATAGAGTGGGAAAAACTATTAGTCTAACCTTGAATTTAGATAGGCCTATATAATAAACTATACCCATGCCATATGACCTGAATCGAATGACCAGTTGAATCTGCTTGAAAAAAAAGATTAGTCTATATAGTGATACACCATTTATACGAACGTCTCTGCATTTTGTTATAAGGTAATATCACACAGAAAGATATCGGAATGTAGAAACGTATCTATAGATTATACGACATTGGTGTTAAATCTTTAAAATTTACTCCGAATTTAAAAAGATCAGATAAAACAACGTCATTAATGCAATCTAGACGGATGTAAATTAAATATTAATGTCAATATTGATTCACTTTACAAAGGTCAAAGTATTATGACTGACTAGTGTGAACGTGCCAACATTAGAAAATACATACATACATACATATTGGTATTTATTTAGCGCCTTTACATTAACATGCTCAAGGCGCTTTACATTTTAAAATACAGACAGAATAGTTATATACTCTCCAAGTGCATTACACTCTAAAAAAATAACAATTACAAAGAAAACAAATGAGTTTTTAAATTTCTCTTAAATGATGCGACTGAGGTGCAAGAACGAATGCTTAAAGGGAGACTATTCCAAATAGTGGGACCAGAAAAAATGAGAAGATTTACTTTCGTTTCGTTTCCACATATGAATAATAAAGCCTTATCTTGATAATGGTTTCAGGAAATGACATTAATACGATGACATAAAAAAAATAAAATAAAAGCAACTTCGTCAGCATTCGATCAACCCGGCACCTTGTTTAAACATAATGTCATTAACAAATTGACATTATCGTTCTGTAAATGTCACGGACAAGCACTTACCTCTACGTGATGAAAATAGAGTCAATTTTGGAATATAAATGAGCATAATGATGATGATTATGATAAACTGTGCAATGTTTATACATCATGGACTGTTAGGTCCAGGTTAAATTGTCCCAGGAGATCGTAATTAATGCCTCTTTACGGAGATACATGAACGACATCATACACTGTTGGTCATAATGGTGGAATAATTATTTTTACCCCAGTTTAGGGAAGGATTTTTAAAAATTATTTATTTCTAATAGATCTAGATAATGGCATACATTCTCAGATTTTATTGAATATTAATTTGCGAGTGTTTGTTTTGCGTGACTGCTAAATCACATGTGTGCTATTATGCTAATCAGCTAGGGAACCTACGTCCTTAAATCATAATTGACAGTAATGAGGATTAATGCCTCACAAAAGGGCACTAATATAGCTAATCGACACAATTTTTATTCTGGGGCCTCACAGTAACGAGGCCATTGCTTAGCCCCTGAATCATGACTGTACGCAGTGTTTGCTAGGGTACGCGGCCGCCCCCACAAATCCCCCAAAACGAAGAAAATGCAATAAATTGTCAAAAATTCATTGCATTTTCCCCCGGCCCCCAACAGACAAAATTCCTCTGTGTGGCCATGCCTTGAACCATAATGCATGGCCCTACAGAGGAATTTTTTTTTTTCGTTTTGGGGGATTTGTGGAAGGGGCCGCGTACCCTAGCAAACACTGCGTACAGTCATGATTCAGGGGCTAAGCAATGGCCTCGTTACTGTGAGGCCCCAGGATAAAAATCGTGTCGATCAGCTATATATTAGTGCCCTTTTGTGAGGCATTAATCCTCATTACTGTCAATTATGACTTAAGGACGTAGGTCCCTTAACTGATTAGCATAGTAGCACACATATGATTAAGCAGTCACGCAAAACAAACACTCGCAAATTAATATTCAATAAAATCTGAGAATGTATGCCATTATCTAGATCTATTAGAAATAAATAATTTTTTTAAATCCTTCCCTAAACTGGGGTAAAAATAAATATTCCACCATTATGACCAACAGTGTATATGCCTAGAAATGCAATTCGCCGCGTATGCAATTTGTCTAAGTTGTGACAATAGGCTGATACTAATTATATTCATAATCATATTCCCAATTTATTGCAATTATTCCAAAAAACGATGGAAACTTACCATGACATCTTGAACATATCGAATTACATATCGGCGTAGGTCTATGGATTATATCTCCAAAATATAACAGCGGGTAACCGGATTAAGGAGAGGGATTAAAAATTACCCCGAAATCGAGGCACGCCTAGTTACCACCCTAAATTATGCCCAAGATCTAAGCTGCGCGACTTCTATGAGGATAATGAGACCTACATTGTACATTACGTATATCTAGAGCATATTGGTAACTTATAAAACATTCTGAATAAAGAATATCCAGGAATAAACTTAACTAGACGCTGCTAATTTCATGTGCAAATATGTAGTGCCAAATTTATCATCGGTAAGCAGGTTCATATATTTAATTAATTTCGTAATGGCTGTACAATAAGCAGGAACTAATAAAAAGCTAATTACAATCCCTCCGGCATCACGAGAAAGAATTAAGGCTGTGTTAATTAGTTTCATATTTATCGAAATTTAGGCACTAATTTTGATCAATGAATCATAATTACAGGTTACATGGTTCTTCTTAAAATATGGGCTATCGTGTATCCTGGGCTAGTACTGTTCATTTTACGTCAGGGTTAAGAAATTATTATTATTATTAGTTAGAGTAGGCGCTGGTGGATTCTTACTGTAAATCCTATCCGAAGGACTCTTATAATCCTGCATGTGACTGACTTGGTCTACAACATTACATATCCCAAATGCTCTATTAATGTACCCAGTAATGTAAACCATAGTTATCTGTGAAAGCATAATTCTACCAGGCCCTGTTCACAGTCTTTTTGATATATTATATGTCAAGGGGGAAGCGGGAATCGCCCTGGTCTAAAAACCTGCCATACCCCGTGTCCTGAATACTATATTCGTACCTCTTTTACAAATCGGTCTCGAAAAGTATAAGAAATCTATTACGGTTTATACATTTCTCACGAGTCCAGGTCTTAGTCGTGTTGATATGTATTATCTGCATATTTAGACTGCAAATAGACACACCAACTGGACAAATATTACTCACCGTGCCCATTTCATGAACTGAAATCTAGACAGGTGATTTTGATCGTTCTTCTCTCTCTCTCTCTCTCTCTCTCTCTCTCTCTCTCTCTCTCTCTCTCTCACTCTGTCTATCTCCCTCTCTCTCTCTCTCTCTCTCTCTCTCTCACTCACTCTTTCTATCTCCCTCTCTCTCGCTCTCTGTCTCTCTCTCTCTCTCTGTCTGTCTGTCTCTCTCTCTCTCCATCTTTCTCTCTCTCTCTCTCTCTCTCTCTCTCTCTCTCTCTCTCTCTCTCTCTCTCTCTCCTGGATTGTATACATTATTATCTATCAGTGTAAGAATAGCTATAATACTACAAATAGTATAGGTGCCAAATACATACATTGAAATACATTTTGCTCCTTGACAAGGCTACAATGAAGATCAATGTCACAAATATTTGTTTGAATCGAAGAATATATATATTACTTGACATAGCAGCAAAGTTTGATAACAATGCATTGGTTTAGAAAGGGACAAAGAGAAGGATTGCAAGAAAGGGCCTTCAAATGGTATCAAGAAAACAGAAAAATACAAAAGTATAAGTATACATTTCATGTACGTAGGACCTGTAGTAGTAGAAGTAGTAGTAGTAGTAGTAGTAGTAGTAGTAGTAGTAGTAGTAGTAGTAGTAGTAGTAGTAGTAGTAGTGGTAATAGAAGATTCGGTATTTTGTCTGACACTTGTCTTTATCCATTACAAATATGCACATACATAAGTTTAAGAGTCGAATAATGAGAGAGGGACTATAATTAGATCGTTCAAGCCTCATGAGTCATGACAACACATTTTTTTTTATTCAGAGGGGTGAACTCATTCAGATTATCATTTGAGATAGAACACGACTTGCTTGCCAACAAGTTAAACAAATGCACACATTAAACAAAGTTAAACAAATGCAATCAATTAACAGCTGACGCGTGACAGGGCAAATTAAACATATTTTAATCGACCCTCTCGACGTTATGAATCAATAGAAGTTTTTTTGGTTTGCTCATCCACTTTCGGGAAATGCGTCCATCTGGTGCGAATTGACGATTTCAGCTATTCATCGTGTGTAGTAGAATAAATGAAAAAATCATTAACAGGACCAATTGTGTTGGTAGTAATAATAAATAAAATGTAAAGCGATGAAAAATGTGGTAGTCGGTGCTATACAAAGCGTATTATGATTGTTATAATTTAGTATAGTTACATTCATCAACTCATATTGGCAGCCAATTCTTTATTCATTAAGTCATTATTAGTATGCATTATCAATTATATTATTCCATTTTTGAACAACACATTGAATAGTTAACTGTTTGCGTCTCCATGCACTGGTAATATTATACAGTCTCATTTAAGGAATTCATCCTACGAGATCGCTCTCTACACCTGGGATGAGGAGGGCAACTAAATAGTGATTTATAGCGGAAAGACATTGTTTTCCTTAATCATTTCGACCCCTTGCTAAAGCTAAAACAAAGTGTTGCATTTACGTCATAAATTGTACCTAATTAAAATATTAGTTGCCTATATTGTTGGAGTAAAGAGATGGGTTTATCAAATATATTCCATAATTCTAACATATACATTAAAATTCATACACCATAATATGGTAATCATAATACTAATGATGATTTTGTGAGGGTTGCACATGGTTGGAGAGTGGCAAAGCTTGAATTATCAGGTTTCAGTGTAGGCCTAGTATTTTTCATGATGATTTGATTATGGGTTCAAGATGCATTATACCTTTTTTGTCAATACAAATTATGTGGTTTTGATTGACATAATTCATGTCATTCAAAAACAACATTATGCTCAAATAGCAACACATTCAGACTGCCGATTTGTTGTTCTGCTATGAATATATCAGCCACAAATAGAAGTAAAAAAAGCCTGTAGGCGGTAGTAAAGCAAACACTATACAACTTGACCCATTCAACTGTAATTATTATGACAGGCATGGGAAGAAGTACGTAGACTCTCTCGTATACCACTCTTTAAAAAAAGTTGTATTATTGTTAATCAAAATACTCCAAGGCTTCCTTGCAAAATGGGGATATTTTCAATAGACCCTTTATATGTTTACATACAAGATAGTATCGTGGGAACACAAGCCTGTGTCCATGCAGCTGACTTTTATTGGTAATATCTAATAAGAGGCAACTGAATCATTCACATTTTGCTGTCCGGTTCTGCAGTCTCAAACCGCCTAGAGATAGCAAGTCTATATGCTGTCTCTACGGCGTGCAAAATACTATAGTACCATCAGCAATAGCTGTCCATTCTGTGAGATCTCCCCCTCTCTCTAATGATCTTCTTATTTCTCCCCGACCCCGCCCCCTTGTTTCCTCTCCTTTTTTTTCTCTCTTCCTCTTTCTCTTTCTCTCTCTTTCTCTCTTTTCCTCTCTCTCTTTCTCTCTCTCTCTCTCTTCCTCTCTCTCTCTCTCTCTCTCTCTCTCATAAGAAATAACGCCTCGCTCGTGAACACAACGTTCTTGTCGGTTCACATAACACATCAAGAACGTTTAAACCTCATGTAAAACGTTTTATGATACGACCCAATTATGTTTTGTGCTCATATGATAGCATGTATCTTGGAGAGTACAGACAGCGTTAAGTAGCTAAAACCAGGTATAGACGCACCCTTACCACTCACTATTATTAACGATCCATCTTAAAAGATTTGGAGAGTTGGCCTTCGTGGCTCCCATTGAAAGCTTCATATCCCTATCAAAAGTGATAAGCAAACAATACGTGCTTTTATCCAGACGATCGTGTGCAGTATAATGTCTTTACATTCTTCTCTCTTGTTGAATCTCATGAAAAGAATTGAAAAGAATTCGTATCAAAGCGAGATATTAATCATACTGTTCTCGTTTGTTAGATCAAATACTATTTTGAAGACGTATTTTTTTTCACCGACAGCATTGACACTGCATTCAATATTGTGATTTCATTGCAATGACGACCTTCGTCATTGCCTTGTTTTCGTTCACATTCTGCCCCATTAATATTCTCCTTTTCCTCCTTTTCCTTTTCCTTATCGTCAGGAAATCGCATTCGTTTTGCACGTAATGTTTGTTATTCCTAGTTAGGTGCTTTTCTCATGTCCTTTTCCTTTCACATTTCATAGGCATAGTCTCTAACATCCCTTCAAGGTCACTACATTCTTCGATTTTCGAAATCACTCATGCATAACCGTCCAGGCGCCATTTTGTCCGTTTCTGGTCCATTTTAAGGCCTTTCTTTCTTCCTTCCTATCTCCACTATCCTAGATCCTACACATTTCTAACAAATTCCTCTAGATAGTCTAAGAGATGTTCTTTTATCTGCGACGTATAACCTGCCCTTCAAAATGCCATCTTCATACTCAAAATTCAAATCTGAAACCGACTCCGTCAACTATCTCTCAAATTCTTGAAAAATTGACACCTAAATAATCTAAAACTGCCATAACTTTCTCATATAAATTCCGTTTTGTATTTAAATCTCACAGTATCCTTATCTCATAATTGCACATAGCCATGCCAAATTTCACGCTCCAATGACTTTGCACAACATAAATAGCGCCCTCTAAAGTTCTGGGAATTGGCTTTCTCTCTGTGGCCGTATCTCCATAATGGCTTAGCAAACCCGTACCCTTTTTTGGATTTAGATACTTGAAGATATGCCCTTTCCAGCCATATACAAAATTATATACCCTATCACTGACCAAATTTGAGAAAATTGCCCTCCAAATTCGCCATTTTCAAGAAAATTCCAAAATAACTTCAACTTGCTCTAAAATTACGATCCTTTGACCTACGTCAATAAAACTTGGCACACACATGTATTTATATACGTGACAACTGTCCGCAAAGTTTGGTAAAATTTGATTATGTCAGCGCAAAGTTATCTCAAAAAATGATGTATTTACTATGCATTGCGTGATAGCGCGTTAAATGCGTGCAATACATTGCGCGAAGATAACAATGGTGTCAAACTGACCGCAATGAAGTGCCCTTTCGAATGATACCAAGTATAGTATATGTTCACACAGAAAATTGTGAATAAATCGCATTTGAACAAAGATCACTACACGAATTCCGCCGAGTTTCCGCCCGAATCTAACACGTATCGGCTATGACGTCATTTTTTCAGACTGCTTTTCGCCCCTTAAACGTCCTTTTTTTCCCTTGAAAATTTGCAGTGACATGCCGAGTTCCAATACGCAGGGCACCTCATGGCCGGATTTTTAAAATTGGTCAATGTGACTATTTAAGACGCCATTTTGTCCTATAAATCTATTTTACATCACGTGTTTCGATAGGATTATCATGGGAAAAAAGAGAGTGGTTTACAATAACATTCATGAAATTCTCTTTCTAATGATACCAAATACGGCTCATAAAGAGACATAAAGAGAGAGAGAAAAAACAATTTAACTCCGGTCATAATACAGATCCTGTACGTTTTCCGCTCATGCATTACACGCATTGTCTATGGGGCATATCGGGTTCACGCTTTTGACCCCCAGAACGATCTTTATTGCAATGACGAACATGCACCAAATCCCCTTGGTTTTTGCACGCAGTGCTTGCGAGCCCTTTCCACGTCCTTTCCCATATCCCAATTTCTTTCAAACTTCGTAGGCATAGTCACTACCATCCCATCAAGGTCACTGTTGAGGCCTTTCTTTCGCCCTACCTATCTCCAATATCACAGAAGCTACAGACTTCGTACAAATTGCTCTGGATAGGGCGAGAGAAGCTTTTTCGTTTGACACGTAGAAACATGGCGTCATTGCACGCACATCGTTGTGACACGATTGCATTTCTAGTTGTTCGACTTGCTATTTTACCATTCAATTCGTCTTTATCGTTTATTACCATCTGTGTATGTGAATGGAGTAGTTTGTCAGCTAAAAGAGATATATTACAGGCTACATTTACTGAAATGAGGTAACATTATTTCTAGAGCATTCACTTTGAGCAACTGAGTTTGCCCCCACTCGCCACTCTGCTGTCTATACGTTCATGTCTGGTGATTCTACCAGTTTAGACCGGTGCTACCATCTGACATTTCATTCTCTCTCTCTCTCTCTCTCTCTCTCTCTCTGTTATTTCTCTATTTTAGGCCGCTTTGACATCATTTGAAAAGGTTCTCATCAACGTGCACGTACACCATTGGCATCACGATGTGTAAGTATTTTATATACGCCAGTAATAAGCATGGTCAGTTGATTTGAATAATGCCCTTCGCGGTGACATTAATTATTGTCTAATTTGCAAACGTGCAATGGGGGTATACTCAAGAGAAGATTGGAAATAAGCAGGTGATACGTATACAATACATTTCCAGTACATGTATAGCAGACATACGTCATGTTAATAGTTAAACAAAATACAAGCTGGACCTGCATGTACGGAAATCAAGCTTTATTTCAAAAGGCGTAATGTCTATTTTAAGACTAACATCGACACGATCGCAAAAACTTTCGAAAAATCATCCTTAGGTGATTTCAATGGCCTTGTACGGCCCTTTTGAAATTACCCATAAGATGATATTTCGAAAACATAATAGTTCCGATCGTGTTCATGATGGAAGTTGCTTTTCAAACACATTATAGAGGGCGTCTATCTATGTTTAACAATATTGATGAGGACACATGGAATGTTTGATTAATTCAATCAGTGTGTCCACATTAATTTTTGATGATGTCTTCCAAAAGTGCCAAAAAGAGAGCTGGTACGTTTCTGAGCTCTAAGGTTTTCTGAAATTCCGGAGGTATTGCATGGGTATACGAATTGATGAATGAACCTGGGTATATAGTTGAAATACAAGATAATCGTTGCTAAGCAGGTGATGTAAAATTCCTGCTGCATAGCAACGACTGCTCGATGAACACAAGGAGAGGCTTTGAAAGGGAACTCTTAAGAAGGATGGAATTCTACTCACCTCCTAGACATCGTCCATATCAGAGACACTGTTACCAGAATGATTTAACTGATCTCTTCTGTTATTCTGTAATGATTCTGTCATGATTAAGTTTACTAGAACCTATAGAATAATTTTGCTAATTTCATAATGTATTTTAAGTCGATGAATTCACATTATCGTACCAGTTACTGCTTGTTTTAGGACGTTGAGCAATATGGACAATTATAATTCATTTAAGAGACCATGAAATATTTCAATCGATCCATCCTTAACGAATGAATTATTTCAACATTTTCACTTTGATTTTGAAATGAAAAACAACTAAGGTCGTAGGCTAGCTTAATATCATGAATATCTTCTTAGTAGAATAAGGTCTAAATTCTTCACCAACAAGAGTCCAAGCTGAAAATACGGGTCAAACGTTCAGTGAGGAAGGGGGGGGGGCGGGGGTCAGTCCAATCGCCGCAAACATCGAGAATATTGGGTATTTTGAGTAACATAATTATATTAATACTCCAACCAACTGATTTATAATAGAAATCCCTTTGACTTCTTGATTCCCTCCACTAGCTGCAGGGATCGATTATATGGATCGTTAGATATTACGACAGATTAATGTTTGAAAGGGGAATAAGTTGTATAGACAATGAAAATGCTTCTCCAACTGGAACCACATTTCTATCAGGGATGAGCAGCTTTTAATTTCATTTTTTTTTTATGCGGCAATATTGAAAACAAGTTCAGCATACCAGTCTTGAATTCGTAAACAGCTCGTATTTATTTGCGTTTAAGATTAAACGCGGCCTCTACTAAAGGCCCAGTAAAATCTATTCTGAGTCACTCGTTCGGAATTCTATGAGGAGGAGGAAGAGGGGCTCCATATGATTTGATTTTTTCTTTATTTTTCTGGAGATGCAAATGCCGTTAGGTAAATTTTAAACCGAAAATTGCCCATTCATTTTCATTTGTACTCCTAGGCGTACTAAAAATTGTTCAAAACAATGTGAAATTGCTATCATATTAATGATTTTGTTGACCCTATTGTCGATGTCTTCAGATTCTTGTTTATTACATTTCAAAATAAAAATTTCAAATAACCAAAGAAATGAGGTATGGATTCCTGTAACGGGGTAACCTCTGTAGCCATGAGGACCGCTGATCATAAGGACCGCTATTCGTGAGAACCCCTATTCCGCTATTCGTAAAGACCGCTATTCATTACGTGGAACTTCCTTCCTTTTCTTTATCCTCAGTTTTCTTATTTATAACTGATTTTCCTTATAAAATTAAAAATAATTATGGCGTATATATTCAACATTGAATGAACGCCAATAAACAATTACCCAACAACAACAACAACTTTCCGTGAAGGACCGCTATTCATAAAACGGAAAGGGTGTCACGAATAATAATCCTTTAAAATATGAATAATGACCCTTTTCTCAAATTATGAATAGCGGTCCTTATATGAAAAGCGGCCTCTATGATGAGCGAGCGGACCCCCCTGTAACACACTATGCTGTATGAAGAAGGTGTCAGTTCATTTTAAGAGGGAGAGGGGGCTGATGAATCGTGTGATTTTGCTGAAATTGTCTTTTCACCAGCCCTGCCAGATTCGTTTGGGGGAGGGGGTATAGGAGCAATTTTCCCGATCACCCTAGTATATAAAATACATTATCATAGGTTTATAAACGTAAATATTTTTGTCCACTTCTGATGATGCACATTTAACCTGTTCGGAACGTCGAGCCTTGATGTCTCTCATAACCTGGGCCCTGTTTCATAAAACTTGTCATCAATAATAAGGATATATTGACTGCTTTGAGAGGCATAGTGGTTTCTATAGGGTCAAGGGAAACTCACAACCTGCTATGACCCCAAGGCGCTTGCGCCGCGGGGTCATAGCAGGTTGTGAGTTTCCCGAGACCCTATAGAAACAACTATGCCTCGAATATTAAAAGCAGTCAATATATATTTTATATACCGAAAAAAAGGAAAATGTTGACTCACCCATTTAGGTTTCCATCTCATCGCACAAAAGAAACTTATACGGTAACACGTAAACCAAAATGGGGATCGCAGCAAAATGACGTCACGTTTCACAGCCATGGAAAAAGTGCTATGAAAAATGGATATAAACCGGTAGAGCCGGGAAAAATGACTATGAATTTCAATTAGCGGGCATGGTTGGGGATCGCAGCAAAATGACGTCACGTTTCACAGCCATGGAAAAAGTGCTATGAAAAATGGATATAAACCGGTAGAGCCGGGAAAAATGACTATGAATTTCAATTAGCGGGCATGGTTAAGAACATGACTGCATTTTCAACCAATCAGAAGACAGGATTAGTAAAGAATCTTAAAATGAGGTATATAACAAATGCTAAATATATATGACAAATTTGCTCTCAGCCAATCAGATGCCATGATTTCAGTATAGCTTCTAACAATATTTGTAACTTGTTATTTATAACAAGCTTTATGAAACAGGGCCTTGGTTCAAAATTTTATTCACAGGATTCATACGAAAAAAAAAACTCTCTTAATTGTTTTACCTCTATCCATACGATACCAAGTAGTACTCCATAAGACGAAACTGAAAGAATACCCCTCTCTCATGTTCTTTATTTCTTTTCAGGACTACTCACATTATGAAACCACAAACTTATGGATTCAAAGTTTTGTTAATCATATATTTTTACATAAACATGTTGAAAAATGTTCGTTGATATTTTTAATGTAAATGATATACTCCGTCGTCTCATCATATCAATCGATAACGTTCTGCAGATGTGCTGCACCAAGTTAATGTTTATTATCCCTACAATTGAAGACGGGGGGGGGGGCAGAAGAGACTTAGTAAATGGAGTTAATGTGTTAAATTGTACAGATATACTAATTCACATTTTCATCGTATCTCTCTTATCTACAGAAAGAAATGCTGACTCTGATGTGATATAAGCAGGCCTCCAGTAGGTAGAAAGAATACTTGGTGAAGAAGGTTAATGCATCATCTTCAAATATCTCATTGATTTTACGGAAACAGAAAATGGCGTCATTGTTCTCAAAGAATCGGAAGAAAAGTATCACAGTGGAGCTCAATGAGGAGCCGCCAGAATTTGAGCTCATGTTTCTCGGAAAGACGGCAACACAACGCAAGATGGGTCGCGAGTGTACATCGGAGATCATCGGCGACCTCGTGGCACAGTCGCGCGGAAAGGAACTCAAGGTCGTTCGGATGACGATTACGAGTAAGGGAGTACGAGTAACGGAAGGCTCGGATCCGAAGAAACAGCGAGACACCTTCATACCCATCTATTCCATCAGCTACGGCTCTGCTGACAAACATTACCCGCGAGTCTTCTCCCTTGTAACGAACTTCAGCAAGAATGACCCGAACATCACCCAGGGTCGTAAGTCCACCATGCCATTCTACTGTTTCGCCTTCGTATGTCAGACCCCTGCCATCGCACGGGCGATGGTGGTGTACCTACTGCGTTCCTTTAAGACCGCGTACGAGGGCTGGCGAAGAGGGGTCAAGAGCCAAAGGTTACGTGACAAGATCAAAGCGGGTCCAGGTCACAACATTTTCAACCGATCGCGTAGTGGAGACGAGAAAAGCATCGCGGAGACCATCGCGAAGCTAGAGGAACTCACGGCAACGAATCAAAATTCTAGCGACAAAACATCAGACTCTAATTCACAAACGGAAGAGAAACCCGTTACGCCACCTGGTGAGACAGCTACTCGCTCTGACAAAGTGGTGTCATGGATGGACAAATGGCTCGGCTTGGGGTCAAACAAAGAATTTAAACGGTTGCCGAGTAACGATTCGTCGACGTCGCCATCGGGCAGCGAGATCACCGCACAGGAGAACGAAGCATTTACCGATCGAGAGGAAGAGTATCAAGAATTTGTTGACCCAACTGCCATGTTGAATGACGAGGTGGACATTGTTTCTGAGCTGATGGACCCTGAAGTACAAAGTGTGTTCGAGGAGATCGCAGAATCGAGAGCCGCTCAGAAAGCTAAACTATTAGATTCACTATAGGATGAAATAGCAAGACAATGATGTAGAATTGTAGATTATTATATCTAGAGATTCTCCACGAAACTAATTACACAGAGGCTTAGATACAGGGTGTGAACGTTCCACAGATCGAATGGCGAAAGGGGAGGGGAGAGAAAGAAGTAAGGGCCTCACCCCCATTTGTTGCCCTCTTTTTCGCACTTTTATCACAGAGTAAGACCAATGTCCACTGTCTTGACCCATGCTACACCACTTACAAGCCATCCACGTACCACGCTCCTGTTTCGTCGTGACATTTTATTGTGTCATTTTATTGTGTATCGTTTTGATATCATTTTGTTTGGCAGCAAAGTTTTAGGAGGCTCGTGTATTTTGCATCATTAGCTTATCTGTACCGTTAATTTTCGTTTGGCTTTAAAACTATATCCTATCAGCACATAGTTTTAACAGAAAAAATTGCATATTTTAATGATTTTCAAAAGCGATCTGCTTAAGCCATCTCCACCAGCAAATTGACAAGATGGTAATTATTATCATGATTGATGTTCTTGTTTTTTAAAGTCTGCAGTCATATTGTCATTTAGAATGAAGGTAGTCATAAGATGTAGTAGCACCTCAAAAATACTTTTATTGTTGCGTCCAGCTAAATTTACATTCAGTGTTGAAGCAAGCCGCAATAATAATTATGTCTACCAAACAAATCTTATGTGAAAAGAAAATGTATCTTAGTAATGTAGTGAGCTATGGAATATGATTATGTCATTTTTGTCGTGATCACAATACAAATCATGTGCCATTTACCATTTTGTTTTGCAGCTCATAATGTAGTGGTCATCTCATAATGTAGTGGTCATCTCGTTTCTGTTTTGTTTGTTGAGAAACACATGATTACATGGGGATCATGATTGTCAATTTAGAATAGTTTACAGACAGTTTATCTCGAAATACATGATTTATTATTTGACTACGGTTCGTTTAATTTTTCGAATCACACTCTCGATCCGTCCCGAATGCTGCGCGAATACAAGTACTTCCAAAATATCGAACCTCTTTATATTTCTTTCAGACTTCTCGCACGATCTTCCTGTACATGTTGACTTTGTTAGCTGATGAAATAGTCAGGTTTCTTCGATTTCATACTACTGATTCAGATATATTTTCACTTCAAAATAATATATCACGAAGTATATTATATGAAGATTTTATTTTGTAGGTAATATATGGAATAGACTGAATGTTGCATAAATTGTACCTCCGAAATATCATACCTACTCATATTTTTCTTGAAATTCTAGCACGTTCTTCCTCTACACGTAAACTTTGCGAACAGGTGAAATGATTCTGTTTCGGCTATTTCACACTTCTGGTTCAAGTAGATATTGACTTTTTTAAATCACTAAGGATATTAGAAATGAAGATTCATTATTCTAGGCAATAGATATACTGAATGGTATATGATTACTTCCAAAATATCCTTCTATCTTTCAAAAGTTCTAACGTATTCTTCTTGTACACGCTGACCTTGTTATTTGATGGAATAATCTTTGTATTTCGATTTCATGCTATTGATTAAAGTAGATTTTCACTACAGTAAATCACGAAGGATATGATATCAAGACTTGATATTCTCTACACCGGTTTCATGAATACATTCGAGCTATTGGACCTACTCATTTTCCTTTGTATGTGTCAGCATGTTCTTCCTATTTACATCAACCATTTACACCAAACAGGTGGACTCTTCAAATTTGATCGCATTCTATTGATTCTGGTAGATTTTCACTTTATAAATCACGGTCATTGTTTATGAATAGTTTATATTCTAAAGATTGAATTGACTGAACATTGCATGAATACATCCGTAATTTCAAACGTATTCATTTTCATTTTCATTTTCATTTTCATTTTCCAGCACGTTCTTCCCTTTTACATCAAACTTGAAAACTTGAACTCTTGATTAAAAGAGATTAAGGAAATAAGGAAATTATGTGAAGATTATATTTATGTGCATTAAATGAAACGTATACCATGAAATCAATCATCATCGACTATGGTATGATTGTTGAAAATTAGATATGTTTGTCAGCAGTAATTATTTCGTTTAGATATTAAGATAGAGAGGTGGAATAGGAAAAAATGAAAGACTGACAAAGGATAAAGGTTGGAAGAGAGAGGAGAGAGAAGAGAAAATGATGAAGAAAAAATAACGAGGGGGAAGGAGAGAGAGAGAGAAAGAAAGAGAGAGAGAGAGAGAGAGAGAGAGAGAGAGAGAGAGAGAGGAGGGAGACAGAGAGGGAGAGAGATATTCCAGAACCTCGCAGTTGGCAGTACACACTAATACGTATATGCTAGATGATCAACCTTTTCTGATCGATTCCACATCGTTTCTTTCATAATGCAATCGCATGACCAGAACTGGTCTATACCTTTAAGTTTGATCCATTCAATGCTGGATACGCCACTGAGATGAGTTATCAAAATCCGTGAGCAAGACGTGATTAGTTATGAGACAAGCCAAGAGAAACCGAGAGTAACCTGAGAGGTATTGAAGAACAAATGAAAGTATTAGGTTAAATTAATTCATATAGGGTGATTTGTAATTATGCACATGTATTATTTTCATTTGCAAAGTTTTAATATTAATTGATTTGATGTAATTTGTAATGCGAATTCTGTTTCCTTTACGTATCAACTATTTCCCCTCTAAACCGCTTAGAGGCATTATGCAATTCGCGGTATAGAAATATCTTATTATTATTAATAGAAACGGAGAGCAATATGGAATTACGTATCGTATTGATACGAGAACGTATCAAGAAAAATAGTTGAGCAAATATATGACGAGATGGCGCACTTTATCTTTAAGTTCACGATTGTGTTGACTACACTGCACTGCTACATACAATGCCCACAGTCATTTAGATATACAGTGACTATGTATTTTATACTATAATCGTAATTTCTGGTGTTATCCCTCTTCAGATTTGGGTAATAAGTGAGTTATTTTATTTCTATAATTTTAAACATTATTATATGCCGAAGCCATCCATTCCCAGTGACTCCCAATATTACACAGTCGTCGTGTAATTAAAAAAAAAAAGAACAACAAAATAAAAACAGAATATGACGCTTGTTATGAATCTTAATTTAAGCTAAATATTACAACCATTTAAACCTCACATACTTCCCTCCCCATTAGAGTCATCCATTGTACCGAATGGGTGAGAGTAACGAGGAAACAGATTATGTTGTCACTCTTAATAAGAAGGTGAGTTATTGTGTTCTCAACCTACATGTATACAACCTCTATACATTTAAACACTTGCTAATTAACATGGGCTTAACTAAGAATATATGGTATCCCAACACTTGGGAATACATACTGGCTTTATCTCCCCCCCCCCCCCCCACTCCCTCCCTTGAACATTGAATTGTGCCCTAGACACTAACCCTTCCACTTCCAGATGATCCTCATGTAAGCTTCACTTTGAGAGAAGAGATAAAAAGAAGAAAATAGGATTATTCTTGACTTAACAAAGGACACAGTGAGGATTTGAACACCCCTTTTCACGCCCCCGTCAATTCTCACTTGAACTTCACCTTATCGACGTAATCGTGGACCTACTGGTCTAAATGAAAGAAGAAGTAAAAGTACCAAACAGGATTACCCGTGTCTTAATTTGCACCTTATTAGTAAGGGAAGCTTTACAGTAATGTGGTATCCCATTCATCAATATGATTGAGGATTAGGGGTAGCAATGCGGATCTAAACGTCCCTTTTTATGATACCCTATCAGATATTGCCATCTTAAACTTAAACTTATCAATCAAAATGAACAAAAGAGGATTATCCGTCTTACAAATACCATCCTTTGTGGAACGAACGAAAGGTGAACCCAATTTACTTTCGAGTAGGTACTGAATGGTTAATTAACAGGATTTTGTTTAGATGAGAACCAGAAGTGCAGTAAAATGGTAATCTATATACTCCTGTGTTGTATATTGTTTTGCAGATAGGATGGAAAATGTAATAGACTTTCACTATGAACATGACAGACAAAGACAGCGGACAAAATATACAGTTCCTCAGGTAGACAAAGAAACATCCCTTCTATGCTATTATGTAAAAAGGTGAATATGCATGTGACACCTGTTCTACACATTTTTACATAATTGCAGGGAAGGGATGTTCCTTTGTCTACCTGAGGAACTGTATATTTTGTTCGCTTTCTTTGTCAGTCATATTCATAGATTAATTGCTCCTGCTCTATTTAAGCAGCTAACGTATGTGACTGAATAAAATGTAGAAGAAAAATCTCGCTTCTTTAGGAAAATACAGATTTATCAAAGGGGTTGAAAAGAAATCATTTATTAGTGATAATGAAATAAATGTAATGGTATTACTACTTAAATAAACATCCTGTTGATAATACTTTTATTGCATGCATCCTTATCAAACTCCTCTTTTAATAATATATTTCCTTTTTCCCATATATTATATTTAATAATTATATTTAATAATATATTTCCTTTTTTGCAGTCTGAGCATGAGCAGATAAAGGTCATTGCAGAACAAATTTTGAAATACACGGAGACGAAATACTGGATATGTGCTCATGAAATTTATGTAACATTATTCATTCATGCACATTCAGTGCACTCCATGGTACACAGGTGGAAGTATTCTTTGAAAAGGGGGAACAAAGGCTATTTATAAAGCAGATCCATCGCTGTAGGAGTGATTATTTTAAAATGTACAAAGTGGGACCTCTTCATGTTTTGAAAATCTGTGGATGTTCGGGGTCATTGCAGTAAGGTGCTAACCGTGAACTGGTCTATTGGAGGCGAATATATTTTACAATAAGCGCCATCTACGTCACTCGGTATGTTTTTCTCTCAACTAAAAAATTAAGGTAAAGGAAAAAAAATACAACTGTAATTAGCAGCATATTGTGTGTCGAGTCTTATCATATGGATAGAATGTGAGAGGAGATCGTGCGTTTGTGTGTTGATGTGGGGGAGAGGTAGTATGTCGTATGAATATGGGTGTTTTTTTTATTTGATTGATTGATTTTATTTATTTATTTCTGTTTGATTTTCTTTTTCTTTTGCATTTCTACAAACATAATAACAAACAAACATTGTAAATTTACACATGACAAA